TCCCCAGCTCTTGAGTTACTACCAGATCTCAGAGCCCCCTACTCGTCCCGCAGTCGTGGCCGAGTGGTTAAGGCGATGGACTAGAAATCCATTGGGGTCTCCCCGCACAGGTTCGAATCCTGTCGACTGCGCAAACATTTTTTTTTTCTTTTTCTAAGAAGACAGATGGGATGGCAATCAATTTGAGCACGGACGCTGGACGGACAAGGCTAGACCCTAAGGAGCTTCGCCCCTAAAAAGGAAGACTGAGTCTGTTATGATAATTCGCGGGGAAGCTGGTTGTTATTTGAGGCTTGAACAGGAGAATTGAGGACTGGGACATATCGGACAAAGTATGAGAAAATTGATACACGGTGTGCCGCATGCCAAGGGAGAGACGAGACAATAGAACTTGTGTTTTTGAAGTGCACAGGGCTTGATCCTGCCCTCGCAGAGGGGACGACGGCTTTGGCAGAAGCGCGGGATTTTCAGACGAGTATAGAAGAATGCCCCTCACAAACGTTTTTTTTTAAATATTTTTTGCCAAGCGATTTATGATAGTGTTAGAAGACTACCTAATTAATATTTTGCTACAGTGTCACGTATATTTTAATAAAGAAAAAGAAAACAGAAAAAAAAAAAAAAACGCAACTGCTCGAAGCCGAAACCGAAACTGAACTGGGGAGGAAGAAGAGATATAGAGGAGGAGAAAGATACCGAAAGTCGCGGGCCTGTAAAACTTCGTTTGTCAATCAACGTATTTGCAGCGGTTTAGAAGCCACAAAAAATGGGTATAATATTTTTTTGCCTATTTCAACTATTCAGTGTGCGCCTCCGATGACCCACGACTTTGATTATTTTGGGGGGTTGTGTCTAAACCATAGAAAACGGCATGTGACGACGGAAAAGAAAGTGAGCGCGACTCAAAGCGGCCAGTTTTCGATCGGCTGTTTTTGGGCGGAAAGAAAACGAATTTCGAGCCACAAATTGTGTTCTGTGTAGTGTGGCTCTCATATGTCATTTACAAGTAAGAACCTTGGCGAGCATAAATACCCTGTTAGTGTCCCTTTAATAAGAGAGACGAGGTTAGAAGACTGGTGGCAATTATGGAAGTAGAATTGAAGGACGTTCAATTATACTCCGTTTCACTTCAAGTGTGAACGTAGCAGGAGGTTCAAGAGCGAGCTCCGGGCTTTTAGAGTCCCTTTCAAGCACGTACGCTTGTGCAGTGCAAACACAGTTCAAGGCCACATGCTCACGCTTGTAGCAGCTCGGGACAGGTGGGACAGAGGAAAATCCCTCTCGCGAGGTTTCAACCCAAAGTCTCAATTCTGTCTCCCAGGGGGCCCGGTGTTGGGGCAATGCCGACTAGTCTTGACCAGAGAAAAATTGGCGACTTTCTTGCCAAAGATAAAGGCAAGAAGCAATGTTTTTTTTTTTTTTTTTTGATTTTCCAAATGTTATTTTAGTTATATCCCACACCGCCTGGTGAGTTACAAAATCGCAGATGGGAAGCAAATTGGCCTAGAAGGGCGAAAGGGCGAGGAACCATTTTTTTTAAAATTTAGTTTCTAGGCTAGGTGGCGCAAGCTACTGCCCGTTATAAAGAGTACGGCCGTTGGCATTCATCCATCCATCCAAGGCTTATCAGACGATCTACACACATCAGGAGCACGATGGCGGCCCCTACTTGCAAATGTGCATGCGCGCATGTTCAAGAGCAGCCATGCTAAATAAAACTAATCTAGCCACCGGGGGCGGAAAACACTTTGTTGGCCATCAGTCTGGCAACCGTGCGCACGACTTAGCGGGGCTTAGTTATCAAACGATCCACAGATTCCACACGCATTAGGAGCAAGATGGCGGCTGGCAAACGTGCGTACACATTCGCGAGCAGACTCGTTTCAAAAGCTAGTCTAACCACCGTGTGCAGGAAACGCTTTGTTTGGCATCAGACTGACAAACGTGCGCACGCCTTAGCAAGGCTTGACTAACAGATATACACACACCAGCGGCAAGATGGTGGCCCCGAGAGGCTGTACTGGCAGACGTGCATACATGTTTGCGAGCAGCCACTCTTCAAAAACTAATGTTGCCACCGTGGGCGGAAAGCACGTTGTTTGGACATCAGTTAATGTTGCTAGATTACCTCCGAGTTGTAAAACTCCCTCGAGAGAAGGTACCCCCCCCCCCCCTCCCCTCACTCGCTTACGTCCGCCTCCCGTAAAGCCCCTCTTTAGCCTCCCGTCGTTTGAAGCGCCATCTAGATTATCGTTTCATAATTGTATGTTCCATAGAGTTCGGTGGAACGCCGTCTGGACGCTGTGCTTCGAAACTTACGTATTCCACATAATACACTGCAGTTACCATAGCAGCCTTGTGGCGCGTCGAACGACGGGAAGCGAGTCGTGGTGAGTGAAAGGGGGTGCTGCTCGTGCAAGCAGCGTCTATGAGCAGTTCCGTAACCGAGCTCATCTAATAACGTTCACATCAGTCCGCCTCAGCAAGACTGGACTATCTTGGAGGTGTCGTCCCAATCCGGCTGACGCCTCAATTCGGCTATTGCCTCAATTCGGCTAGAAGTTTCAATTCGGCTGGACGTTCCAGTTCGGCTACATCCTCAATTCGGCTAGAAGTTTCAATTTGGCTGGACGCTTCAGTTTGGCTAAATCTTCAGTTCGGCTACAAGTTTCAATTCGGCTGCATGCTTCAGTTCGGCTAGATCCTTGCTTCAATTCGGCTGGACGTTCCAAGTTGATCAAGCTAGGCATCCAAGCATAAGGTGCCCCCAATTTTTTTAGAGAAACGTTAACTATATCTGCATCTTGCCTTAGCATTGCAACGTGCAAGCTCAAATCAATAAGTTCAAGCAGCTACGAAGGCTTTGGGCACAGAAACATTTGTGTTTGTGTTGTTCGTTCTGTGAAGCTGCTGTGCAAACACCAGGTCTCTGCTTCAAAGAAATTTATTCACTTGCCCAAAGAATGGATTACAGCAGACCAAAGATTGCTTCTTCCAGTGCTGGCCACTGCTCACGTGAAAGGGACAGGACTCCTTGGCAGCTCCTACGTCGAACTGAGTTGAAGAAACAAAGAAGATACCTGCATCAGTTATGAGACAAAACAATATGGTAGGGGCTCAATCCAGTGATTTACATCTTCAGGAGGCTAAGGAGAATGTAACAGTATACCTGTAATTTTTTTTCAAGGTCACAAATTTGCCTCAAAATTGGTTAAACACACCAGTAGCTATGACTTATCTCGTAACCAAAACCTTACGTCCACAAAAAATTGTTTGGCGACATTAAATTTTTAAATTCGGTCCTCATCATATTTTCAAAGTGAAAGTTTCTACTGGTAGTATTAAAAATATGGAGGCTCGGGCAAGCTGGTGTTGCATACTCCTCTACAGCGCGTGTTGCATACTCCTCTACAAGCACAAGCACACACAAAAGGAAAAGACATTCATGAAGCTCTGACTTGCAACTCAGACTTGTATTATTTCTTCTCTGCCTGCACCTGTCTTTTTAAACAATAAAATTTTTTTTGTTGTTATTTTTGGTTTTATCTGGATGCAAGATAATCTAATTCTTTTTTGTAATAAATCTGGACAAGGTTTAGTGACAGTTTTCTTCTAGCCTCGAAATCTTTTCAGCTTCAATAACTTCCCTAATTAGTTGGTTATTATTTTTACTTACTACGGGGCAATGCTTTTAGTTCTGCTTGACATCTGCAATCTTGGCAATGTATGCCTTATTGACCAGAAGTGATTCTGTTTATGTTGTAGTCGTGTTCCCCTTGTCTATGTGACATCAGTATTTGTGACGTCGGGGTGGGGAGGGGTTGGGTTTTGGCAGTAGAACTTGTTTCCAACTGATTAGAAGAATTTCGATGGCAACAAATAAAGCCTGCAGAACCCCAACAATAGCTCAGCAGCACGAAAGAAATATGTTCCATTCTGTTCTCTGATGTGCTTGTGCTAGCCATGCTCCAAACAAGAGTTTCGAACAAACCATTTGGGCTTCGTAACGTGAAGAGGGGTACAGTTTCTATCATGAAGGAAGCCATTAGCCCGCAGATTTTGTGGGACGAGCGAAGGCGGCGGAACTTTCTAGATTTCACACATCACCCCGCACAGCCATGCAGCGCGGCACGTTCCCGTGGCACCTACGGCTGTGAGTAGCAAGTATGTCAGGGAGCCTTTAAAAAGGTGGGTAAAACCAAGTTTTTCAGTGACCGAATCGAGGAGACTGATAGCTTAATGTACCGACACCTGGATAAGTAACCCTGTTGTTGTTTACGGGTTTTATGGCGCAAGAGCTCCGACGGCCATACTGCGCCAAACTAGGTAGGATAAGTAACCCTGGTTTGCAAGTTTTGTCGTGGGAGAGTTGGTATTAACTGGGGTGTACTGCGAGTTGTAGAGGATCTAGAGTCACACCGCCATATTCAGCTCAAGAAACCTCGTCTAGCCACAGGCAACTCCTTCCGCAATCATTGAGACTATAAATTAATTAATACACTTGTGTCTGGTTATTTTTTCTGTTTCTTTTGACTTTCTGAGAATCGAGAGACTCAGCAAGCAAATTTAATATCTAAATTATTCTGAAAAAACTGAGAATTTAATCAAAACAAGCTCTGAGAAACATCGAATTTTCCACAAAGGTAAACTCCAGAAAACACCCTCCAATGCCGCAAAGGATTACATTCTTTTCCCCTGTCTTTCTTCTCCGACATTGTTTCCCTGCTTTTATCAGTCTCGGGTTTTCTAGATTATGATCGACAAAGGATTAATTCTGGAAACACGGAATGCCGCTTATAGTGATGCTGCTATATGTCACGCTAGGGGTAGCCAGGCAGGCTCTGGTGCAGCTTGGTTATGACCTTCCTCGCAAAGGGAAGTTTTGGCATTGCGTACGAGGCGATACTTGCCCAAGTCTAAAGGTTACCTTGGCAAGGTTATGGAAGCACCCATGCTCACAAGTACGGTAACTGCCCAGGTTCCTTGGAAGGTCTCAGCACACGGCAGGCACCACCGTCTGTCGTAGGTATGATGTGCTGCAATGTCTGATGACGCAAACTGCAGCAAAACAAAACATATTTTCCTGTGAAACAGTATCCATAGCTGCAATCTCCGTACCGGCACACTGCATGACTAGCTAATCTCATTGTGCACTTCTTTCTACATTAGAAGCACAGTTTAGCCTGAAGGCGTCGGCATATTTCGGTTCCACGTATAAAGTCACTCATACAGATTTACGTCAAACAAACATATTTCGCCACGTCTGTGGCTGTGGCAGAAAATACTAAGAAAGGGGAGATAAATCTGCGATTGCATGCTTGAAATGGTCAGAAATGGGAGGAAAAAGCCCCGAGACACTTTCCTCCCATCTCTCCTCCGTGAACAGCAAGGTCGAGGGAGCACACTAGCGGTGCAATCGGTGGTTTGTACGCGGTGCTCGAACGCGATTAATTTATGATGTTTGGATACCATCATTTCAGCCATGTTGCGATTACATCGATACCTTAAGAACTGTAAAACGCTGATTGAAAAAAAAATTGTACCGGCTCATTCACGACTTTCTTAGCTTTGGTTGCTCCCATTACGGAATGAAGGGTTTGTTCACCAATTAAACAACGCACTCCCGAGCTTCACCCAGTTTGTCACTGAAGGCTTTGTTCGTGTTCGAAGCTAGATCTTTGCTCAAAAAGCACTTCGAAATTACAAACAAATCTACAACGACTCTCAGCAACCCTCGTCTCATTGAACCGCAGCGCAGTTTTCGCCCAAAGGAGCCGCAAGTAACGACTCTTGAGAACAAAATAATTATCTATAAAAGCTAGACACAATGCATGGTTCCGGCATTTGAGCACAAGGTATTTGACGTCTTTCGGAGAACGCTACAAAAGCTTAGTATTCCAACAAGAGCTTAAACGTACAAACATTCCAGTTTTCCTCGTATCTGCCTGAACTGGGCGGAGCCACCCGAACGACCCGATGTGTGCAACATCCAAAACATGTGTCGCAAACTGCTGTGTGCAGCACGCCGGAGCAGCCATCTTTCCGACTGTTTGCACGCTGGCTCACATTGTTTCGATGACCTGTGCCTTGCGTTTAACGTTTCGATGGCAGCCTTTCAATTTTAAGAACAAAGCGTCAAGTGCTAGCCTCACTGTCACTAACACTGTTGCTCAATGCGACAGTGTTCGCATTGAGCACACAGTTGCTCAATGCGAAGTGCAAACAAGTACGCCCATGACATGCTAGAAAGGACAGCCTGGGGCCTAGGCAGTACGGCCACGCAGGTCCAATCAAAGCTCGCAGGATGCTGTACATAGACTGCGCGACACTGTTAAGCACTAGACACAACAAAGAAATAAATGCACCTTGATCCTACGAGAAAACTCTGTTGACACAGAGTATAGTAAGACTTGCGAAGCTTGTAACTGGGTTCATGAGCTTTTAATCACTCCCGTGACACACACCTGCACACAATGTGTCATCCGAATTTACCCATTGGATCAAGGTACATTAAACTTTTTTCCGCTGCCAAATGGAAGGGAAGGTGCGACAACATTATCCTTTTGTCTTACCCTAGCATGAACTAGCTGGTAATGGTACAATTACAAGCGAGTTGCCTTCACTGCTGTCCCTCCTGCTCGAGCTCTCGTACAACCAAACCGCAATTAAACGCAAGGCGCTTGCCCGCACTTGTAGCCACTCCGGCTAGTCCATGCTAAGACGCAACAAAGCATGGCAGGAAGCCTGCCACTACAGCACGTCGGCCGCCGGGCATGACTGGCGAGAGCAAGCGCCACGCGAGTCACATGAATGTTCTGCAATAGCTGCGTGACTTAAAAGAACCCAGATGAAACGCCGTTCGTTGTGCCATTCAGTGGTGCAGGGGCAGAACATCGGGCTCCTAATCAAAAGGCTGTGGGCTCGATCCCCCTATAGGGGAGACATATCATTGATCTTCTTTCATTAGGTGAACCCTATCTTTGCTTTTATTCTCTGTTCTTCTCATTCGACGTGCTTCCGTGACCGACTGGGTAATCCATGTTGATCTACAACAACTGGATCGGTCGTTGCATGCTCTCAACCCTAGATATATAACACAGAGCTGCAAACAAAATCACAAAATTTTCAAGAGCCGCAGAGGGAGGGAGGAGGGGGGGGGGGGGGGGTGCCGCGGCAGGTTTTTTGTTTAGAGCAATAAACGAAACTCAAACTAATTTCGGCCTATCTTATATGAGTCAAAAGCAGTCCAATTGTGCGTAAGGCAGCAGTAGCACATTTAAAACGCGTTTCATTTCTCTTTTTGGGGAAGTGCTCCGGGAGAGAGGGGGGGGGGGAGAGAGAGGAGGGATAAGGGAGGGAGCGGCGAGCCGCATTTTAACACGCGGAGAGCCGCAGCTTGGCCACCCCTCTACTAGGGCATTGCCATGCAGGTTCTCAAGGAGCTTGGGAACGGCCTTTCCCTCTAAATTAATTCCTGGCATTGTATACTAGGCGATACCTGCTGTAGTCTATGGGTTACCTTTGCAGGGAGATGGAGGCATCGATGATCACACGTACGGCAATCGCCCATGTCGCACATTATCAAGGAAGGTCTTCATGAAGCAGGCAACTTGTCCTGTCGATGGAGACCCAAACATATCCTGCATATGTGGGTAAAGTGCCTAAAATTTAATTTAATTACAACTACTTCTCTCCAAAAGCATCATGACATCAAAGCTTGCCGCTTTCCATAGATGGACTCGCTAGCACAGCCTGGCCTTTTTCGGTCGGCCAGGGTGTCGAGAGTGTTTTGTAGCGACCCGCCACACGCCCTCAAAGTTGAACTTGTGTCTTACTCAAATTTCGGAGGAGAAGCCTACTACCAAGTATGATAGAATTGTAGCAGGGGATCATGATGTTAGCTCCGTAGCCCCGGCAACCCAACCTCCATTATCGCCAGCCCCTTTGCCGTCTACTTCATCGCCCATCATGACTACCCGTCATCCCTTGTGGTTGACGCTTGTTCGTAGGGAAGGACTGGCAGGCACTGCTGGGCTCTGCGCCGCTACTCATCCCAATTCCCAAATGGAGACTGCGGCTGACCGATGACATCTGTCGTCTGCTTCCTTTCTTCGGTACTTTGCTTCGGTTAAGGAACTGTTTTTTGCAGATAGTATAACGTGTTGAAATCGCTTACCTACTAATTTCAACGGCAATTCATCTTGGAAGTGCCCGCGCAAAGCTGGTGCCGCGATGTGTGGTGATATCAAACGCAGAGAGTGCCTGAAGAATTTTGAGGTTGCTCAAACGATTTGTGGATATGTTAGGACGCACTTTATGACAAACAAATCAGCGGCAAGCGGCTCATAGTCAGATCTTCTAAATTGCTGATTGCGACACTTCCCTGATGACTTGCTAAGTGCTTGGATATGGTAAAAAAACTTCGAGTGAAACCTATTCCTTCAGACTACGGATACAGAAGGCTCCGCTTCTCAGGGCGCGATGACCCAGGTCCCCTCTACAGCCCATCAAGACTTTGGACGGCGCTCGAATGCGTGCTCAGAGTGCAGTCCAGTGTTACTTTAGTGCCATCGGACGGCACTCAGATACAACCTGGATTAAAACAGTTCGCTTTTATTGTTATTGCGGTCACTGTGTAGGTCACTCACTGAGGAGAAGAGGAGGTGAATTGGGGTCCAGTCACCGCCGCGATCAACGACCGAAATCCAACGGTTCCGCAACTTGCTGACCCTTGTAAAACCAGGAGAACTGCCCAGAAATTCACTTTACTGCGAATTGTGTTATGCTGTGGGACTGAACGGTGAAATGTAATGCCTGCGGAAGAATAATCTCAACGGTCCTTGTAGTCGCGCACACTGCAAAGCCCCATCCTGGCCCCTCCGACGCGCGATGCCACATACTTTCGATTCCTAGAGCTCGCCTGTTCATCGCAGTTCGCCCAGTCTGCCGCTCACGGCAGCACTCGCTATATCCCTTCCGTTCTGATAAAACCCACTAGACAGAGCGAGTGAACGGGTGTGGTTTCGGAAAACGTAGTGTCTAGAAAACTGTCCGACGGCACTCTTGCAGAGCTTTCAAATGCCATCCGACGGTACTCCACTCGGGCGTTCAAGTGGCGTCCGAAAGTCTCGTATAAAACGAGTTCTCAAAACGACTTTTACGAAGGGGAGTGTGGCGTATTGGTAAGATGTGTCTCATAAGCACGTGATCCCGGGTTCGATCCCCACTGCGGGCTTACTTTATTGTTGCTGTTTTCTCAAACATTTTATTTTGCCGACGCATTCGGCGATATGTACATTTATTTTTTTTACCATTAACACAGGAAAAAAACGAATGTTGTCGCCGAAATTTCGCTGAACGAAATAGCATGGTACTTCGTTTCCGGAGGTGCATCGGGGAAAGCGGGGCTTGGTTTGGACGCCGCGAAGCGGCGTGTACGACAGGGCCAAATGGGTCAATAGCTTTGTAATTAGCAGCCGCATACTGTAGCCGCGAAGCGGCGTGAACGCAGGCGGGGGTGTGTGTTAACGAGCTCCCCAGTGATACACGCGCCGTCCGACTCCCGGACGGCACTTGTAGGCGCGATTGGAGTGCCGTCGGGCGGCACTGTAGACACAGCCTTCGGAAAGTGCTTTGTGGCCCCTTCCCGAACTTGCGCTACCATGCTTTCGTGGATACTCACCCTTGATGAACGAACTGTGAAGTGGGACCGGTCAGTGATTCGGTATTACTTTCGCTGCAATCGGAGGCGTTGATTTGAACAGCTCGTGCCGTCGGGCGGCACTGTAGACACAGCCTTCGGAAAGTGCTTTGTGGCCCCTTCCTGAACTTGTGCTACCATGCTTTCGTGGATACTCACCCTTGATGAACGAACTGTGAAGTGGGACCGGTCAGTGATTCGGTATTACTTTCGCTGCAATCGGAGGCGTTGATTTGAACAGCTCGTGCCGTCGGGCGGCACTGTAGACACAGCCTTCGGAAAGTGCTTTGTGGCCCCTTCCCGAACTTGTGCTACCATGCTTTCGTGGATACTCACCCTTGATGAACGAACTGTGAAGTGGGACCGGTCAGTGATTCGGTATTACTTTCGCTGCAATCGGAGGCGTTGATTTGAACAGCTCGTGCCGTCGGGCGGCACTGTAGACACAGCCTTCGGAAAGTGCTTTGTGGCCCCTTCCCGAACTTGTGCTACCATGCTTTCGTGGATACTCACCCTTGATGAACGAACTGTGAAGTGGGACCGGTCAGTGATTCGGTATTACTTTCGCTGCAATCGGAGGCGTTGATTTGAACAGCTCGTGCCGTCGGGCGGCACTGTAGACACAGCCTTCGGAAAGTGCTTTGTGTCCCCTTCCCGAACTTGTGCTACCATGCTTTCGTGGATACTCACCCTTGATGAACGAACTGTGAAGTGGGACCGGTCAGTGATTCGGTATTACTTTCGCTGCAATCGGAGGCGTTGATTTGAACAGCTCGTGCCGTCGGGCGGCACTGTAGACACAGCCTTCGGAAAGTGCTTTGTGGCCCCTTCCTGAACTTGTGCTACCATGCTTTCGTGGATACTCACCCTTGATGAACGAACTGTGAAGTGGGACCGGTCAGTGATTCGGTATTACTTTCGCTGCAATCGGAGGCGTTGATTTGAACAGCTCGTGCCGTCGGGCGGCACTGTAGACACAGCCTTCGGAAAGTGCTTTGTGGCCCCTTCCTGAACTTGTGCTACCATGCTTTCGTGGATACTCACCCTTGATGAACGAACTGTGAAGTGGGACCGGTCAGTGATTCGGTATTACTTTCGCTGCAATCGGAGGCGTTGATTTGAACAGCTCGTGCCGTCGGGCGGCACTGTAGACACAGCCTTCGGAAAGTGCTTTGTGGCCCCTTCCCGAACTTGTGCTACCATGCTTTCGTGGATACTCACCCTTGATGAACGAACTGTGAAGTGGGACCGGTCAGTGATTCGGTATTACTTTCGCTGCAATCGGAGGCGTTGATTTGAACAGCTCGTGCCGTCGGGCGGCACTGTAGACACAGCCTTCGGAAAGTGCTTTGTGTCCCCTTCCCGAACTTGTGCTACCATGCTTTCGTGGATACTCACCCTTGATGAACGAACTGTGAAGTGGGACCGGTCAGTGATTCGGTATTACTTTCGCTGCAATCGGAGGCGTTGATTTGAACCGCTCGTTCTCGAAATAGGAGCCTTGTCTTGAACAAAACCATCCAATAACTCAAAGGCCGCAACCACGTCGCACACAACTCTCTACCTGCTCCACATGCGTTGCGTCATCTTGGGTCCCAGTGTTGCCAGGTGAGGAAAACAAAAATCAGTGGATACTGGATAGAACTCAATCGAACTCTCTAAAATCAGTTAATAAAATTATACACTTTTTTTACTCCGAGACTAATCTTTTAGCAAATATCATAAGCTATAAAACAGCAGTTTAGATAAAACTGTATTTCCAAATTGAGCTATAATTAGTATTATTTTTATTGCGTCACTCTGCTGCAATGTCCGACAGAAATGTTTTAACGTCCAAAAGTCGGTTTGATTGTATCAACTATTCCGATGACTTGACTCAACGCTGCAATACAAAAACCCAAACTCCTCTGCGTGAAAACGGAACTACGTGGATGCGAGTTGCAAAACCTCTTCGTGGTCTGGAAACACTCTACGGGCGGCCGTCTTGAGTTTCGGTTTCTCCGCATTTCCTTCTAGGGCATGGACGCTCCGCCACTGAGTGCGATTCGGAAATTTTATTGTTTTCTGACTTCCGACCGATCACCCAACGTGGCCGAAGAGCTAGGCCGTCATGCGCTTCATCTCTGAGGACACTCTTTTTCGATGCGAACCCCGATGAAATCGTACTGTTTAGCGGTAGACTGCCTACCGTGTTACATGCGACTCAATTTTTTTTTTTTTTTGTTATTGACAAAAGTGATTTATTATTTTTTTTTTTTTAGAAAGCTCTGTGTTTCAATGGAAACTGTGCCCTGGGAAATATTTTTCAGACGTTGCAAGAGCTAAATTGGTTTCAGATAGGAAAAATTGGGTTGTGTGTGTGTTTATACAGCCTAGAACTTGGTCTGCCTCACAGGGACGACGAGTCTCCCAGCTGTAGATGAGCAATTTAGCCAGTGCAGTACAATCGCTAGCCTGGGGTCTTGAACGTGCACCACGCAGTAGTGATGCACGACCGCACGCCGGTACGATGCTCATCCAAAAGATAGCACTTACCTCAAGCACAGTTGACGGATGTTTCGCTATTATTGAAGATTTGTTCAACCCTGGCAGGATAACTGCATTGACTTTCTCAAGACTAAACAACTTTTTTTTCACCTCGGCTGCGAAAAAAAAAACGATGTAAAAAAATGAGTGTGAAATGAGGTTGGCACCACCCGTGTTGCTCCACTCAACGTCCGCCACGTAAGTTTTCGCCGCCGCGGCCGTCGAATTTTTAGCCACTGCGATAGCAAAATCCCTTCTTTATGAATGGTGAGCAAACAGACACGTAGTCTGTGTCTGTTATGTTTTCTATTCAAGAATATTTCAACAACAAACTTCTGTTTTGTTTTAGATGTGTTTTACAAACCTCGTTTAACGACGCCAGACAAAGTGTATGGAAATCGCTGCAAGGCAAAGAGGTTGTTTTAATGGTCCAGGCTAAGGTGACGGAGGCTGATGGCGCGTGCTCTATTTTGGTTTTCTTAGTTGAAATATTTTTATCCAGTAGCGCGCGTGTATAGAGGCTGTTGTGTCGCTTTATGTAGGCACGCTCGCGTCCTCGCCAGACGACATGGCGCCGCTTTAAGTTCCATCGCCGCTCCGCCATCATTACTAAAGTCCCTCTATCCTGGGAAAAGTGGTGGCATTCATTGCTGTTGAAATGCTCGAGACACGTGACACGCGCCCCTTCTGGGAAGAACATGGCGTCTGAAATCTCTCTCAGTGCTGCGCTGTGCCGCCATGATCTTCCCAAGACCTGCACGTTGCACTTGCCTCGTGCATCGACGCGCTATGCGCTACTTCTAAAATATGAAGGGGCTTTTATCATTACTAAAGACCCTTCATGTTAAAAAAAAAGTAGCGCAAGATGCGTCGATACACGCGTGTGTGTGCGTGCAACGTGCAGCCCTTGGGAAGATCAGGGCGGCACAGCGCAGCACTGAGCTAGATTTTAGACGACATGTTCTTCACAGAAGGGGCGCGTGGCACGTGTCTCGAGCATTTCCACAACATTGAATGGCACCGCTTTCCCAGGATAGAGGGTAGGGTGCCTTCATACAGTTTCGCCACGTCTGTCTTAGGGTGGCGGCATCTCGGCCATTTCTATGCCCAGAATGCGCGCGCTTCGATCTCGTTCGGAGCGAGCGCTTCGCCCTGCCCGGCGCTTTGGCGCAATTTTAAAGGGGCGATGCAACGATATTCAATTGGAATGTTTTTCACTTTACACGAGCTCACTGGCACAAGTGGGACTCAAGGATACTCGCACGCAACGCCACTGACCAAAAACACCTTTGTAGCGCTGTAATTTCGAGGAAAAAACCGAGCGTTTTCATTCATTCTCTCCTTCGCAAAACCTGATGACGTAGCTGGGCGGTGGCAGTTCCGCCCGTGACGATATTTGAATGCGGCTCATAGATTGGACCGGAGCATTGCGTGGGCACTTGATTTGGGCTCGAGAAGCTCGAGCTCGGAAAGCATTAGCTCGAGAAGAATTTGGGTAATATCCTGCGTCCAATCGCTGCAATGACGACAACAGCCTAACCATAACAATGTCTGGAACTCAGCGCGTGTCCTGTGCCTTGCCAACCCCAGCGCACGGCTATGATCAACATTGGCGGCATATAATAGGCTCCAGATCACGTGGCTGCTTGTAATGGTTGCGAGTTGAGGGGGTGAACGGTGCTCGTTTTTCTTTATTTTTTTTCTACGACTTCGATTGCGTGTGGTGAAAGACGAACGGGTATTTCACGGGTCATTAGCGTTAGGGATCCGTTTTAAGCGGTATTTGCGCAAATACAAAAATCGTTGCATCGCCCCTTTAAGGTCATTCGGCATGCGCAGGCAGTTTTCAATACAACAATGAGTGTCTTCGCCCTATGACAAACGCACATTGAGGCACCCTAACCGCTCATTCACACTGGAAGCGGATCCGCGTTCGCAAAGCGGTTGCGAACGCGGTTGTATAAGGATTTGGTACAATTGCACGCGCTCTTGATGTCATCGAGTGCGCGTGCAATTGTACTGGATTATCGACGCTTTCAGGCAGCTGTACATGGGCGCTGCCATAACCGACCTTCAGTTTTTGTCCCTCTTATTTCGTTCGCTCCACTTCATCATTACCACAGCAGGACAGCTTATTGCCATTTTAAGCGTTACTTTGTCGTTCTCCCCAGCATAGGCCCTTGTGAAGACTCGTCAACGCCCGCTTCATCGGCTCGGCATCTCTGTAAGACAAGAGAAGGTCGGCTATGGCGGCTCTAATCTGGCGCGCGCTGAAAGCGTCTATACAACCGCATTCGCAACCGCTTTGCGAACGCGGATCCGCTTCCAGTGTGAATGAGCGGTAATAGAGGGGTGGTTCGCGCTCCCTCTAGCCGGACAAAGGCGCCCCGCAAAAGATTGCAGCACTGATCTCTAATCGATGACATAGCAGAACTAATAGAGCAACGCTGCTGAGCAGGCAAAAGGCAAAAGTACAAGACAGCGAGATTGAAAATCTTTGAAGCGGATCCGTTCACCAATCATAATTAATCGAGCCGCGCTCAAATTTGATGTCACGTGCAGTTGTTGATCATGAGTCAGACCCACGGGTCAGACCACTGATCAGTGATGAGCTAATGTTGCTTGGTATTCTGTAACCCGTAAAAAAAACGTACTCCCCCCCCCCCCCCCCTTCTTCCGCCGCCACTTAATGCTGGATGTAGCTCGTTTCTGGACTGCGAGTGCCGCAAGTTACAAATACAGACGGCAGAGTCAAGTAAAACGCTGCTGTAGAGGCACACACACCTTCACGCACATTGTACTAGTAAAACACATCCACATGACGTCGAATCTTGATCGGTATGCAAGCGTACGAAGGCACAGAGACGTAGCACTTCGGCGTGACAAGGAAATTTTGATTACGTCGCGAGACCAGTGAAACTTGCTCTCGACGAATTGTGCCTTTTTCGTGCGGCCCTGCACTTTCGTAAAATTTTCCACGTGTTCTCAACAGTAAGTCTCAACGCTTACACAGGGTCTTGGAAAACCTCTTTTGCGAATGACGACGAACGAGTAGAAAACGTTTCTCCTGCACGCTGACGGCTGCCTTTGTAACGCTAGCAAAACCGCAATTTGTTTATTTGCAAGATGGCCGCCCGGTGACTTCACTAGCACTTCAGCGACCAAGCGGGTATGCGCGATCAACAATAGACCTATCGCCAAATTACCCAAGCATCAAGGAGAATGCAGGGATTGGTGTTCCACGCGCCGCACGTGCTGGCCTCACATTAGTAACTTTCCAAAGCAGATGTCTAAAACAAACTGCATCTTACACGCGCGTTCGTCAACGCTTTATTTTGCTTATTTACTTCGAATCTTTTACACGGGGAAGGCATAGGCGTGCGGCGCCTGGAACACCAATCCCTGCATTCTTCTTGATGCTTGGGTAATTTAGTATTAGGTATATTTTCATAGATATCAATACTGCAAACGTCCCATCTTTTGCGGGGCTCCTTTGTCTGGTCAGAGGGAGTGATGGCGGAGCGGCGGCCGTGTTGTCTGGCGAGGGCGTGAGCGCGCCAATATAAAGCGGCACTACAGCGTCTATCCCCGCGCGCTAATGAATAAAAATATTTAAACCAAGAAAACAAAAATGGAGCACGCGCCATCAGCCCCCGTTCGAAATTCTATACTTGTTGTCAATAATTTTTACAGTTGGTCCTGCAGGCTGCAGCTAGAGCGCTCGTTTAGCCGTGCCGCTGTTACACTAGGAGCTCGCGCTCGTAGCCTTGGGGCTTTGTCCGCACTAAGATAACACGAATGTATTCCCGGCGAGAAGCACGTAAGGGGCGCTTCAGCGATCCTCACTCTAAAGCCCCTTCACGTTTCAAAAGTAGCGCAAGGTGCGTGGATCCACGAGGCACGTGCCGCACTTGGGAAGATCATGG